GTCAGGAAGCCTGAGGGGAAGAGACTGCTGGGGAGACGATTTATGTAATCATCAAATCACAGATATAGACCACACATTGAAAAAAATTAATTCTATGCAAATATAGGCTCCCATATTTTAAGTCTGAACATTTAAATTTAATCAGAAGTTTATGAACGATTAGTAGTCTTCAACTAACAAGATATTACCACCAATGCACTCTGGTGCTATATAAAAGGCACATAGACGCATGTAAAACCTGGATCCATGGCGTAGGTTAAAAAAATGTAATCCAATTTTTGTCATCAAACCGTCTGATATTTAAAATACGCACTTGATGGTGGCCTACAAAGGACGTGGCACGTAGCTCACATACAATATAATGAAAGCCTGTTTAGGCGGAAGTTCTATGTATGTCTACCGCTTATCTATGTTTATCCCTGAAGTCCTGAGACCAACTTTCACACCCATAAAGAAGAACAGATAAGGTTCGTTTCTGTTTACTCTGAATTATTTAGATAGAAAACAGGGCATTAAAGATTATAATCTACCACAATTTTTTGACGTAGGTAGCCACTATGTGTGAAAATTCAATAAGCTGTGATAGGTACGTGGTTTATGAAAATCAGCACCAAAATAAATTGAATTGACTTGACTTTCATAATTTTCTTACGATATGCATGAATAAATATGCCTAGATCAATCTTGAATAAATGTGAGACTACAGCGTCCATATGCCCAATTTTATATCACGATGCTCTAAAACATTTCTTGGTTTATTTAACGAGATGAGTGGGCAATAGACATTCACCTAGATCTTCAACTGAATTGCCATTAACTGAACAGTGGGGCACAAATTTTGCTTTTGTTTATTTATTCATTAATTTAAATACGCGTGATGCTAACAGCTTTTATTGATAGATTAAAACACGGAAGGAATTTCTATCAACTCTCTGTTGAGCAGATCGAGTCCTGCTTTAGTATGAAAATAGTAATTTTAGGGAAGTGTATTCAAGAGCATAATTCATCCTGCTCCATACTTACCGCCTTAATAGCCTCGATTGCGAGGCCGGGGCGAAGGCGCGCATGAGCAGACGGTAGCGACGATCACAAGTAGCAGATGTTTAGTTGTTCGTTCACTCACTCGTGGTGGGGTGATACTGAAATAAACTCAGCCCATTTCCCCACCATGTATGGAGGTCTATGGAGTTGAATGGGTTATGTATAGTTCGACCTAAACATCGTGAAGAAGACGGCTGTGCTCCTACGCAAATGGCCAACTAACGCAATTGCGGATTATGTCAGTGATTGAGGTCAGTTAGCAGAACTGAAAACAATTGCGGATTATGCAATGATTGAGGTCAGTTAGCAGAACTGAAAAATACAGAGTTTTTGTCTAAGAACCAAGGAAAAAAATCACTTGGAAGACCAAGGCATAGATGAGAGGACGAATCTGAAGAAATTTGGAGGGGGGGTCAACTGCGTTTAGGTGGTTCAGTACAGGGGCCAGTCGTGGTAGCGGGCTCTTGTGAACACGGTAATGAACCTTTGGATTCCGTAAAGAATAGGAACTTTCTTGACTAGTTACGTTTTAAAGGACATTTCTCTGTGGAGTTAGTTATGTCAGACTGTCTACCACAACTTAATTGCAACACCATTTTGTGTTACGGCAATAAAATAATTTTCGGCTCTTAAACGTTCCGCAGAGACTGGCTAAGGTTTTTGTATTTTGCTACATTTTGTTTATAAGCATTTTATTATTTATAAAATACTCTGAAATTCTCTTTTATATCATGCTTCGGCGAAAAATAATTTTTTTTAATCGGAGTCTGTTGTCTAGTGCACAGACTTGTGCAGAACAAAGCAGTGCTTAAGTGACAGAAAAATTCTTATGAGATCTTCGGCTCCAGCTTCTTTTCATTTAATCGGCATTTTTTTGTCCAGCCATGTAATAATTAGCTTCACACGTACGTATGAACTACACCACTAAAAGCCGAAAGTTGTGGTTCCTGTGACTTCTAGACTCAGTGTTGCATAAAAGTAGCGGCTTTGAAAATGTAAGATTTGAGGTTTTCACAGCGGTGAGTATGAAGATTTTGGTATTCTGGGATGTTGCGTGGTGTAGTCTGGTCGATGCTTACCAACGTTTCTCAGGGCATACTTCCTCCGTCATCAGGGCGATGAGTATGAAGATTTTGGTCTTCTGGGTTGTTGCGTGGTGTAGTCTGGTCGATGCTTACCAACGTTTCTCAGGGCATACTTCCTCCGTCATCAGGGCGATGAGTATGAAGATTTTGGTCTTCTGGGTTGTTGCGTGGTGTAGTCTGGTCGATGTTTACCAACGTTTCAGATATCATACTGCCTCTGAATTCATCGCCCTGATGACGGAGGCAGTATGACCTCTGAAACGTTGGTAACATCGACCAGACTACACAGTCTTGGAAATGTTTATTATAGATCTACTTCTATTTATTTTTTGTTATTGCGACATTAAGTTAAATAAAAGTCAGCAAATGCTTGACGTAAGTCTGTTTTGCAGATCACAGTCTAGTGAATGAATAATCGACACACCAAAATAGATTATAAGCTATCCAGAACGGATTTTAGTATAGGCTGCACTATAATTGCCAGATTTCTTCAGTACCCGTTCGTAATTTCATATATAACACTTGCGGACGGATGGAGAAACCAATATAAAGATGGCTGTCTTCTGGAATGTGGCCCTGCATACTTTCATAGAAATTGGCTGACGTTTCGGAGACACTTGCTTACTCCATCACTAGGGCCGTGCGAAAAAACGAGTGAAGACATAGGATCAAGACAGACAAGACCAAAGCTTGGCCGGACCAATTAATGAAGGGGGGAAGGGATGGTGGAGGTAAGGGCAAGAAGACCAAATGAACCAATGGGAGAGCCGGAGAATCACGGCATGACCTGTGGGGGGCAGGAAGTGGAGGCGGTAAGTACCTCTGAAACGTCGGTCAATTTCTAACATTCCAGAAGGCATTCATCTTCATGTTCGCCGTCGTGAGAATTTGAAATCTCACAAAACAACATTACCTGGCTATTGTGGGTTAATTTTATGCATTTTCTACAAGAAATGCATAAAAGATGGATGGAAGTAGATTTAATCGAGTTGGGTTTTCATAACCTCCACTGAGGAACAAAGCCAGGGAATAGAAAATGCAAAAGAGAAGCAGATTATTTGTGGTAGAGGCGTAACGCCATCTGTTAACAAGGGGCTCATGCCAGTAAGTTATATTTTCTGTATACAGTTGAGATATGTCGATATATAGACATACGCGTATGGATATTTTGTTTGATATTTTTTGAGCCGACAACAAAGGGCTCTGATGATTAGCCAAGAATTAACAAAGGGCTAGCATTCCTGATTTGAAGTTTGTTTATTTTTTAAATGTATTGGGATGTAGTTGCACTACAAACAGAATTTAAATTCGACGCCAGCATATATTCTGCGTCTAGTAGGAATACGCCTGTTGCTATTCGAGTCCCATTAGAAGCGTTGGGACTTTTCTCCATCATTTTCAGGTAAGCTCTTGCGCCGAACCAGCTGGTAGTAAAGCGATTGAAATGTGAAACTGACCATTCAACTCCATCTACCGATGAGTTTCGGAACACGTGATAGTTGTCTTCGGTGTCTCTTCATTGTTATAGTTAATATTTATTATTAAAGTAAAGCTATCCCGCTACACGCCATGGGGGAACTTGTGGGGAAATGTTGAAATGCTCCTATTCGTTCTTTACCTCGGTATTAGATGGGGTGAGTGGTCAGCATCACGCCTCGACCGCGCTTTCCCCCCGGGAGAGGACTCTGGTAACAGGTCCGTGGCAGTGTTTGCTCCAGAATATATATCTTGTAATATGCGTATTTTTAAATGTATTTTTAACGAGCATCGCGGTCAAATGATAAGCACTCCTGCTTCGTTTTCCGGTGCAAATCTCGATCCAAATACCAAATATCCTGACCGAAGTTTTTAAT